TCCACGACAGCAGCAGGGTGCAGGACATTAGCAGGGAGTACCTGAGGGAGAAAAGAGGGGTGTGTGGGTCCGCACTCAGGAACAGAGGCCGCATCAGGGGCGGCAGGGGTTACTGCTGGGCCGGGGTCGGCGTCTGAGGCAGGACGGGTGTGCTGGGGTCGTAAGTGGAGCGACTGTCTGCTTAGAGTAGCAGAGCTGCTCTAGGGTGTCTGACCTGCGGTGTAGAGACAGTAGCTGTAGAGCCGATGAGAGCTGCTTCTGGGTGGATAAGCCAGTCTTCCATGTTGCTTGAAGACCGGGAGCGTGATCAGTTTCTCCTCCATCCTGTGTGAGTGCGAATCTCCGGGAGTCACCATTTGTGGGGTATGAGATGTTTGGTTCACACTCAGGATGGAATGGAGAAAGGAAACTCACGATGTGCTCTCTATATACATGTTGTATTGGATGTACAATGCAGCTTGGTGCTGGGAAGGCAGCATGGTTACAAGCGTGATGTAGAGAGAGCTGGTTGGTGAGGACGCTCAGAGAAGGACAGCTTGTGGGTCGCCATCTCGCCGGCGGGAGCGAGGACCGCCAGGCAGGCGGAGGAGGAGCGAGGGCCGCCAGGCAGCGGCGGAGGAGGAGGTGTTGCTGGCTGCGGCTGTAGGTAGAAAGAGAGAGATCACCACAAGGTCAGGTCTTAAATAGCGGGGGTCGGCGTGGCTTAGCAGTTGACCCCCGCTCCGTGATGTATGGCGGCGCTGGTTGACCTAGACCACGAGGCATACACTGGGGAATTGGTGGGGTCGGCTAGGCAGCGACAAACAGCGTTTGTAGGGGAGAATTCCACTACAAGTTCGCCATTGTTTGTAAACATTGGCCACTTGAGTTAGGACGGAGAGAGGGTATTGTAAGCGTTATCTGTTATTGTAAACACGAGAAGTGATTAATCCTGGGTTTTTGAGTACGTCTACTGGAAGATAAAATATACTAGGACTCTGGCATTGATTACAGACATAGAGAGTACATATACTGTCACTCACACATATATTGAGTACATGTACCGTCACTCATACACATACCGAGTACCTCTGTTGATGATGAACAAGTAATAGGACTTTCCCATTGAGTACAGACATAGAGAGAACATATACCATCACTCACACAAATAGAAATTACATACACCGTCACTCACACACACATATTGAGTATATCTATGCAGAGTAACGCGTATACAGAGTCTAAATTTTGGCTATGTAAAACAAACAAAAAAGTTTTCACATAGACTCTAAATACAAAACAGTATTTTCCACACGGTTACAGCATCATGTTTATATATGTAATATTTAGATTTAAATATGCATGCGTATTTTATAGGAATACGTAACTATACATGTATTTTGGCAGGTTATACATACTGGTGCAAAATAGTTCAGTTAATGCTGGAATTTCATGCGTGAAATCCGCCCCAGAAAAGTGATTCGTTTAATAAAGTGTTATCCCTAATTTTATATATATATATATATATATATATATATATATATATATATATATATATATATATATATATATATATATATATATATATATATATATATTTTGTCATGATCGTGATAATGGCTAACCTGAAAACCTTAAGGATTCATAATACGCTCAAACGTCCACAAAACCTTCCGAGTCCCCCAGTGGAAACGTCCCCCGTTTTCTCTGTTTCCCAGCCTCTGTCTTAAGGGAACTTTGAATATAATCCGCGGATTTCGTAGCAGACGCTGTATATTGGGACCTGTTGCCAGCCAACCCTTTGTAATCAATTTAATTTTGCTTTTGATAGCTGAGTCAGAGCATTGTTAGTGAGGATAATAGTAGGGAATGAAACTGAGTTCATAGTCTCAGTTTCAACGTCAGAGTGTACAGTCAACTAATTCATCAAAATAGAAGTAGGTGGACTCCCTGGTCTATTTTGAGTGAAGGTGCCGCGGGCATTTCTACCGTTAGTAAGTGCCCGTCCCTTCATTCATACAGGTATGCCATTCCACTCTGTGTTTTAATTCGCCCTTCTTTAAGTGATTTGACCCAATTAATAGTTGATGGTGCAAGTGTTACAGTAACGTGGTTGGTATGCTCTGAGTGAAGTAATATTTACGTCTTTAACGTCCCCTGAAATGTGATGTCGTTGTCACTGTTAGTAAGTGCTCGCCCTTCACCCATACAGGTCCCTAACGCAGCCTAGGCCGTGTCTGTAGCGTGGATGTTGTATCCACTATGTCTGGGGAGATGTCCGAGGTCCAGTAGGATCAGTTACCTTCGTGAGACCCGACCGTCAGACACTTCAGACTACCTATGGCCCCCATAGCTGGCTCGTCTGGCCCTAACGCTCGGCCTGCGAGGTGACCCCGGATCACCAAGCTACACACCACTACCAGCCCCCATCATTGGTGGATGAGTGTCTAACTCAGTAGGGCTATTTGTGTGGTGGGGTTAATCCACTGGGATCTTCAGAGTTCGTCGGAAAGTACCCCATGGTGGCTGGACCCCATGGCTGTTGCTTGAGTATCACTCCTGACGACTGAGTGTTGTAGTGGCAGTTGCCCTGGTCTTTATGGTGCTAAGTGACTATAAGAGTTATGTGTTATTGAGTATGTCCACCCAGTAGGGTTGGGAGTGTTATTGAGTATGTCCACCCAGTAGGGTTGGGAGTGTTATTGAGTATGTCCACCCAGTAGGGTTGGGAGTGTTATTGAGTATGTCCACCCAATAGTGGTGTGAGTATGGTGAGCCTGAGGGCATAGTACCAGATTTCGTCTGTTGGTACATATAAATTCTTTCTCCTAATTTCATATCAATGTTTAAATAAATTTTGTATTTGTATATTGTCTATTATTTACCTACAGTATTTACCGTTATTTCTTCCCTATTACTTGATACTATAATTACACTTACCCACGAGCCTCCTCTCGTCACGCTACCAATGGTAATAAGTATGAGAGTAAAAGGAATTGTTACTGACACACAGGCCCTTATAAAATGGTGGCAGCTCAGGCCCTCATAATATATATATATATATATATATATATATATATATATATATATATATATATATATATATATATATATATATATATATATATATATATATATTTACATATATATATTATATATATATATATTATATATATTATATATATATATTATATATTATATATAATATATATTATATATATAATATATATTATATATATATTATATATACATATATATTATATATACATATATATTTTTTGAATAATACATCAAAATACATTAGATAGATTAAAAAATTCATTAACATATCTAAATCGCTCATAGGATTGTGGTACAAGGGTGTGAAAATTGAGATAGAAGTGACATGTTTCAAAGAGAAAAGGAAACTCTTGAAGATTCGTTTTCTCTAATGCCCCCCCATGGCAAAAGGAAATAGGGTAAGACTCAAGTAAACTGAAATCCCTGTGTATTCTGTCGCATCTCAGGTAATTAGTTGTATTTTAGTACTTAATTGGTTATTATAGTTACATTATATTGTTCTACCGTCATTGTTGGAGTTATTTAATGTGTATTTAATTATAATTTGGTTTAGTTTTCCCTTAGTGGTTTGATTTTATGGTTTAATTAGGTTAGTTTGGTTAGGTTATCATAGGCATGTGCAGTAAATCAATGACCTGATCTAACCTAACCTAACCAAACCAGAGCAAACCAGAACAGAGCAAACCAGAGCAGAGCCAACCAAACCAAACCTAAGCAACCCAACCCAACCCAAACCAAACTAACCCCACCCCACCACACCTAACCTAACTCACAATTCAGTATCGCCTCCCATTGCTGATAAAATTTTACAATTAAATTTGGTTAGAAAAGACATAACTTTCACCTAACAGCTGTACAAATATACAGTGGTCTGTGTTTAGTGTTCCTCGATCGTGTTAAAGTGTCGACACAGATCGCTGCACCAGAGAGACAGACAGACACTCGCTTCATGGTGTGTTGGTGACTCAGCCTTGAGTTAGACTTGAATGGAGGATGAGGTTGACCTTGAAAGTTGTAGCCTTGAATGTGTGATGATTTTAGTGTTGTTCATGATGATGATAATGATGATGGTACTATTATTTTACTGCTGCTGTTGATGATTTTAGTGATGATGATGATGACAATTATGATGTTGACGACAATGATGATGATGCTGTACCGAGAACTGCTTACCTTTTGTATGTTTGTTATTGATTGCTGATGATGATGTTAGATTTACCCCTCGTTCACTATACTCGTGTGACCCTCTATGTGCTGTTCTGGCTCTATATTCCTTCCCAAATCACCCATGTTTCTCTCCTTCCCTCACTTCTCTCTCTCTCCTCCTCTCACGCGATCACTGCTCTCTCCTCTCTAACGACCTTCCTATCCTCCTGCTCTCTCACGACCCCCACCCCAACCTCTCTCTCTCTCTCTCTCTCTCTCTCTCTCTCCCCTCTCCCCAAACCTGCTTGTTAGGTTAGTTTAGGTTAGGTTAAAGTTAGGTTACGTATGGCTTGGTTAGGTTAGATTAGGTTAGGTTAAGTCACGTAAGTCAGGTCCACCGTTCGTGCCTGAGATGTTTGTCTGTCAAATTAACTCAGTTGAGTTTATTCCCCGCCTCAAGAAGCTAAGCCCTGGGTCTGAAAAGTGATTATGTCTGTCTGTCTGTTTGTTTGGTATACTTGAGTTTGTTTGTTTGTTTTATTGTGTGTTTGTCAGTCTCTCTGTTTGTGTGGTATACTTAAGTCTATTTGTTTGTTTTGGTTTGTGTGTGTGTTTGTTTGTCTCTGGTATATTTTAGTGGGGAGTGTATATGCTTGTTTTTGTCTGTGTGTGTATGTGTGTACTGTTAACCAAGCAGTCAACAGAAAGAGAGAGAGACTGAGGGGGTGTTTTTGGTGTGTGTGTGTGTGTTATTCCCAGGACACTCTGGGACCCCCTGGGACACTCTGGGACACTCTAAGACTCCCTGGGAGACTCTAAGACTCCCTGGGAGACTCTGGTTCTCCCTGGGAGACACTGGTACTCCCTGGGAGACACTGGTACTCCCTGGAAGACACTGGTACTCCCTGGGAGACACTGGTACTCCCTGGAAGACACTGCTCCCTGGGAGACACTGGTACTCCCTGGGAGACACTGGTACTCCTGGGAGACACTGGTACTCCCTGGGAGACTCTGGTACTCCCTGGGAGACACTGGTACTCCCTGGGAGACACTGGTACTCCCTGGGAGACACTGGTACTCCTGGGAGACACTGGTACTCCCTGGGAGACTCTGGTACTCCCTGGGAGACACTGGTACTCCCTGGGAGACACTGGTACTCCCTGGAAGACACTGGTACTCCCTGGGAGACACTGGTACTCCCTGGAAGACACTGGTACTCCCTGGGACACTCTGGTACTCCCTGGGGAGACACTGGTACTCTCCCTGGGAGACTCTGGTACATTCTGGTACTCCCTGGGAGACACACTGGACTCCCTGGGAGACTCTGGTACTCCCTGGGAGACACTGGACTCCCTGGGAGACACTGGTACTCCCTGGGACACTCCGGTACTCCCTGGGAGACACTGGTACTCCCTGGGAGACACTGGTACTCCCTGGGACACTCTGGTACTCCCTGGGGACACTGGTTCTCCTGGGACCTCTGGTACTCCCTGGGAGACACTGGCTACTCCCTGGGAGAGACTGGTACTCCCTGGGGAGACACTGGTACTCCCTGGGACACACTGGTACTCCCTGGGGAGACACTGGTACTCCTGGGAGACTCTGGTACTCCTGGGAGACACTGAGTACTCCTGGGAGACCACTGCACTCCCTGGGAGACACTGGCTACTCCCTGGAGACACTTGGTACTCCTGGGACACTCTGGTACTCCCTGGGAGACTCTGGTACTCCCTGGGACACTCTGGTATTCCTGGGAGACACTGGTACTCCCTGGGAACACTGGTACTCCCTGGGACACTCTGGTACTCCCTGGGAGACACTGGGGCTCTCCTGGGACACTCTGTGCTCCCTGGGAGACACTGGTACTCCCTGGGAGAGACTGGTACTCCCTGGGACACTCTGGCACTTCACACTCTGGTACTCCCTGGGGACACTGGTACTCCCTGGGACTCTGGTACTCCCTGGGAGACACTGGCACTCCTGGGGACACTGGTACTCCTGGGACACTCTGGTACTCCCTGGGAGACACTGGTTCTCCTGGGACACTCTTGGTACTCCCTGGGAGCACTGGTACTCCCTGGGAGACACTGGTACTCCCTGGGAGACACTGGTACTCCCTGGGAGACACTGGTACTCCCTGGGAGACACTGGTACTCCCTGGGAGACTCGTTGCTCCTGGGAGACACTGGTACTCCTGGGAACACTGGTACTCCCTGGGAGACACTGGTACTCCCCTGGGAGACTCTGGTACTCCCTGGGACACTCCTGTGGTACTCCCTGGGAGACTCTGGTACTCCCTGGGACACTCTGGTATTCCTGGGAGACACTGGTACTCCCTGGGAAACACTGGTACTCCCTGGGACACTCTGGTACTCCTGGGAGACTGGTTCTCCCTGGGACACTCTGGTACTCCTGGGAGACACTGGTACTCCCTGGGAGAGACTGGTACTCCCTGGGACACTCTGGTACTTCCTGGGACACTCTGGTACTCCTGGGTACTGGTACTCCCTGGGACACTCTGGTACTCCCTGGGTGACACTGGTACTCCCTGGGACACTCTGGTACTCCCTGCTACACTGTGGTACTCCCTGGGACACTCTGGTACTCCCTGGGAGACTCTGGTACTCCCTGGGAGACACTGGTACTCCTGGGACACTCTGGTACTCCCTGCTACACTGTGGTACTCCTGGGACACTCTGGGACCCCCTGGGACACTCTGGGACACTCTAAGACTCCCTGGGAGACTCTGCGACTCCCTGGGAGACTCTGGTTCTCCCTGGGAGACACTGGTACTCCCTGGGAGACACTGGTACTCCCTGGAAGACACTGGTACTCCCTGGGACACTCTGGTACTCCCTGGGACACTCTGGTACTCCCTGGGACACTCTGGTACTCCCTGGGAGACTCTGGTACTCCCTGGGAGACACTGGTACTCCCTGGGACACTCTGGTACTCCCTGGGAGACACTGGTACTCCCTGGGACACTCTGTTAGTCCTTTTGTAGGTTACTGGGCCCTGGGATAGACCTTGGCCGACCACATGGCCAAGGTAGGTAGGTTACTGGGCCATGGCAGAAGCTGGATTTGGCCAAGTTGACCCCGAGCCGAATACCACCAGCCGCTCACAGGCTCAATAGCCGTTCAAGGTTGACCTCTCAACCATACTAGACAGATATATAGTCAAGTTATACCAAGTAAAAAAAAAATCCTTTACAGCACTTATTTAACTCACGCAAATATACTCAAGTTAATTGGTAACAGCAGCTGAAGATTTATTCCTTAGGTCACGTTGCACTGTCTTGGCTGGGGTCATGACTTGAACTGACCTCTTGCCTTAACTTATCTGAGGATTTCTGGCCATTTCACCTTTCTCATATTTAGACCAGAGCTGTTGAAGTCTTTTCATTCACGGCTCAGGGGTGCTGGTGGTAGAGTGGTACCACTCTTGCCTTCGCCAGCGAGATATCACGGGTTCGATTCCTGGGCCGGTCGAAGTTGTTTGGACACACTTCCTAGCCCCCATTAGTCCCTGTTCACCTAGCAGTAAAGTAGGTACCTGGTGTAAATCGAAAGTTGCGAATTCGTATTCAGGGACAAGTTGTTGGAGCTTCCAATAACTTGATGACACAAACTATTGACTCTTCAGGCTTCTATGCCCTTGACTCTTCAGGCTTCTATGCCCTTGACTCTTCAGGCTTCTACTCCCTTAACTCATGAGATATAAAGGCAAGCATGAACTTAGCATGCTTCCCCGTAGGGCACTGTAAACGCTTCTGCGCTTCACCTTACACAAGGATGTAGGGGAGTGCCCAATAAAAAATAAAAAAATCACGGCTCAGATATCCTCATACTCGGCTCAGATATCCTCATACTCGGCTCAGATCTCCTTATACTCCTCTCAGTTCTCATACTTGGCTCAGATCTCCTTATACTCCTCTCAGTTCTCATACTTGGCTCAGATCTCTTCATAATCGGCTCAGATCTCTTCATATTTGGCTCATATCTCCTTATACTCGGCTCAGATCTTCTCATACTCGGCTCATATCTCACTATGAGTCTGGAGGGCCAACAGTAAGTGGTCCTCCTCAGAGCACCAACAACGACTTCCCACCTCAGAGCTCAGATGTAGACTGACCTCCTGCCACAGCCCTCACAGCCAGGGTTGCCATCTCGGATTTTCAAATGTCGCTAGGCTGGTACCTAAAAGTAGCTAAATGTCGCTAAATCTTCCATGGAAAGTCGCTAGCTATTATTCCCCCCCTTCAGTAATTTGATGCAAATAATATTTTCATAATGCCGACTATAATGGACGGAGTATAAATAAAATGCATTATGTAAAAATAAAAATATTATTTTTTTAAAGTTTAATGTGCACACTTACCTATTATTCAATAGTAATTGCATCCCAGTCCTCTTCGTAGTGTGAACAACTGTAGAGCTGGAAGCATGTGAAGTGCTTGGTTCAGGTTCTCTTGTAACTGTATGCCTCCACAGTCCCTATCTTTCTTAAAATATCACTAGGAAGTTCATAACTTGCACAACAGGTGTTCTGTCTTTTTAACCCATACTTTATTGTAAGAATTGCCTTTAATGTCGATAGTTTCATTTTGTTGCGCAATTTTGATTTCACAAAGTTCATATTACTAAATGTGCGCTCTACATCTGCGTTTGAATGCGGAAGAGATAAGGCAGCGAGTGCAATTTCAGCCAGATCATGGTAAGGGTTTTCACCTGTCGCATCTCTGTAATTTGCCACTTCTGACCACAATTTTAGGGTGTTAGATGTTTCTGTCCAGATTGTGTGATGCAGTTTTTTCCACTGGAAATCAATCTTGGTAAGGGTGCTGGAATCTTCTGTAAATAAGTGTGCCAAACCAAGTATATCTGATTTAATAGGCTTCAAGCATTCATCGGCACTCAGAAAAGAAATAGACTGCAGCACACGAATGTTGTCAGGTAAGCGTTGACCAAGTTGTTTTATGAGTTCAACCCGTTCAAATGCATTGTCCCTGTAACCCCGTTGCTATATATTATGGCTCGAAATTAGGAAAACTGAGTTTTCATGGACAGTCCAAAAGTATCCAGAAAGTCGCTAGATTTCTGTGGATATCTCTAGATTTGCGACAAGTCGCAAATCGCTCTAAAATGTCGCTAGAAAAAAACAAAAAGCTCTAGATCTAGCTACAAAGTCGCTAAGTTGGCAACTCTGGTTGCCAACTCGGATTTTCAAATGTCGCTAGGCTGGTACCTAAAAGTAGCTAAATGTCGCTAAATCTTCCATGGAAAGTCGCTAGCTATTATTCCCCCCCTTCAGTAATTTGATGCAAATAATATTTTCATAATGCCGACTATAATGGACGGAGTATAAATAAAATGCATTATGTAAAAATATCATTTTTCAGATTTTCTGTGAAATGTGGCGCAAGAATATTGCATATTATCCCAGAACACTTTGATCTTTTTAACTTGAGTTCACTGCCTGCCTTGCTGTCACTAAAACATACTTTACACACTTCACTTAAGTGTTCTACCACACGAATAGAACAATGTTCAGCTACAAACATGGCCAGAGTTCCCTCCACTTTTTTTGCTTCACCAAGTTTCTTGAATGGTAAAATTGTCTGTCTTTCTGCACTAAACGGCTCTTCTGCTTTCTTGTGTTTTTTAGTGTTTTTGTGTTTTTCAATGTCGCACAACTTAGCAGACAAAGTACACTTGCAAAATTTACAAAATCCTTTTTTATTATCTCCTGGCACCTCCAGAAGCCAATTTTTGTATCTGTCATCTCTGAGCCATTCCTTCCTAAATCGCTGCGAATACTGTGGCTTACCCATTTTCTATTGGGACTATGAAGGGTTCAAATTAATAAACAGCATGCAAACAAGCGGAAACTTTCCTTGATGGTTTTTGGCAAAGCGGGTGAACAGTGTCCGGGGCAACTGTATGGAGTCTATGGGTCACCCATGGTGGACGCGTATGAGAAGTTTGGAACCACGCAGGCTTGATAGAATTAATTCTATAAGATGTTTTGCTAATATTCTTTAAAATTTAGCGTATTAATGAAATTCATATTGCATATCTGACAAAGAGGTAAGTTACCCAGGTGCTACAAAGGCGAAGGTAATAGACAAATAAATGACGACACGGCAACATTAGCCATGGACGGGCTGACATCAAGTGATCAGGAAATAGACGTGTCCCTCCTTCTGTACCACGACCCGTTCAAATGTATTAAACTTTTCTTATTATTTATTGTCCCTGTAACCCCGTTGCTATATATTATGGCTCGAAATTAGGAAAACTGTTTTCATGGACAGTCCAAAAGTATCCAGAAAGTCGCTAGATTTCTGTGGATATCTCTAGATTTGCAACAAGTCGCAAATCGCTCTAAAATGTCGCTAGAAAAAAACAAAAAGCTCTAGATCTAGCTACAAAGTCGCTAAGTTGGCAACTCTGCTCACAGCATTTAAAGACCACGGGGGAAGGGGGAGCTGTGAATTTGTCAGGAATATGTTAATTAGATCAACTACCGCATCACCGTCCAAGTGTTTACCGTATCACCCTCCAAATGTTTAAACCCTTTCATTTTATATAATTTTTAGATATAAAATTCACAATCTCTTTTCTGTTGACAATTTTACTATTTTTCTAATTTAATTTTAAATTTTCACTATAGTGGTTAAATAACTTTTTTTTTTTTTTTTACCGGGAGTTTAACAGGTGTAACAGCCATTAGGTGCAAGGCTCGCGCGGTGTGTCTGTCCGTCTGTAGAATATACTGTACATATTTATATGTAGGAAAATATTACAATTCGTTATACTAAATCTATCAAAACTTCAAAAACCAGATCATAATTGACTTATTTTTTATAGATTACGAATATTAATAATTCTCCGTATTGGAACTTCGTGTAAATTTGTCACTTGTTTCACACAAATACACAACAGAATCTCTAGGAAATATTTACTCATATTAAACTCATTTTAACATTAACTAATTATCACAGACTCTATTAAATATTAGATGGTCATAGATTATTATTTAAAATACTTTATATATAAAACTTTAAAAAAAATAAGGAAGTGAGCGCCATCTATGAGTTAAAAACATAACTAAAAATCTTCATTGGGGTACAATGGAGTGTTTCCCGTCTGAGTATTATGGAACCACGTCACCAGCCAGCTGCCACAGTGACCTCACCAACACAAGACTGTTGACGAAGACGAAGGAAGCTGCGTCTGTATCGACCCTCCCAGCCCTGGAAAATAATCCCCTTAAGGCGTCGGTAAGAAGATCATTATTACTATTATTAGATCATAAATATAACCTTAAGGATAGTTAGTAGTTGTTGTTGTATTTTTATTATGAGACAGTATTTAAGCGTTAATTAAGGTCATTGTGTTGGGTCGTCTGGGAGTAGCTGGTAAATTGTCACTTAGTTGTCATGAAATTTAAGTTGAAATTATGGTTTTTTTGGCGTGTTTTTTTTTTTTTATGAACAAATGCGGGTTAATTTAGGTTAGGTTAT